TAACATCCAAACTCTCATAATGTAACCCTTACATTAGCGTTATAACCCTTACATAATAACCTCAACATAACTGTAGCAATCGCTGTACCCAACTCCAATATCCAGATTCTACCCACCTTCGCGAGTAGTGATTTGAGATTTCCCAATATTACCCCCCCAAGGCATGCCCAATGTAGTGGCTTCAAAAGAAGCTTCATACTTTTTGCAAATCTTCGGTGCTTCGGGATGACAAGAGTCCGTAGCCAGGCCAGTGTTAGCAACAAGTGGAAGACCGTGGTGGATATCTCCACTCAGCGGATCCCAGTGGCAGAGAGAAGGGCAATCATTGCCTCGCGCACACCTCAGACGCACCCCTTCATTACAAAAACCTCCCACTACGAGAGCCTTCAGAAGATCTTGCATCTGGAGGGTATGATCTTTAATTTGGGTCCCGTATAGAATCCTTCCTGTAGTAACTCGAAGACTGAAACCCAGACCCGACGCCCCGAATTGAACCTGAAACCCAAGACTGCCCTAGATCTTAAAACCCTAACTAAGATCCCGACCCCAACTCCTGACTTGGCGTAGCTGCCATCTTTGAGAGCAGGATGCGGTTCAGGCATCGAATCCAAACGCAAACCCAAGCGTAGTAAAAGCAATTTCGAAAGCATCGTGTTTGTTCTTTTTTGTTGCACGCGTTACTTAGAACAGGGGCTGTAGTGTATTCAGGGTAAGCCATCTGATTTTTCTGTGGTTTGGCTGGGCATTGGCTTCATGCAAAGGAGAACTCATCATACAGACGCCCTTGGGGCCTTGTGTTGCGTTCCTTAACAAACCCAGCAGAGACCCAGTTAGCGAAATCATGGTACGCAGTTTCCAAACCTAGGTATGACTGCTAATGCTGAGTATTGCTCTGAGTAATAAGGGCAAGAACAATATGAATATGAAAAGCCCTACTTTGCATAACGGATCTTAAGGTACCATCGGCGCGCGATCCGCAGACACATGCACATTGGCAAGACCTTCCTGCAGGTGGTCCTGCGCTTGGATGGCTCGTGTTGAGACTCCATGCTACCCAACAAGTTCTTAGAAGTGATATTAGCGTGCCTGTTGAGGCACAAGCATTACTGGCGGATGTTAGGCCTTGTATGGCGAAGGATTTCTTGTTTAGCCAAGACCCTCACTTAAGATGCGTTCACACTCTCTTACAACATGTTCAACGCAACTCTCCCAGCTCTCAAAGCTCTGGCCCTCAGCTGGCCGCCAACCCAACGGGAAACCAGCAATTTTTCAGAACTGGTGTGTTGGGCAGTTTCTAGGTACGGGTGTCCACAAAAATTGCCTGAATGGTGCAGTTGTTTTTTGTGCTTGACCTCTGCTGAGAATTTCTGCAACACTACGTACACCACCGCACGTCCCAAGAAACTGCCGCTAATGAGGGCAACCTCACGGAAAACACATACAGTCAAGACCAAGGGACCCCGAAGTTCAGAAGCTAAGCATAAATCCTACACCGCATAGCGAAGCTTTTTTTGTGCCCAGGTGTGGGATGCACTACGGGCAAGTCGTGAGCTAGACCAGCTCCTGGATCAGAAAAAAGATGTAGGGTTGATTCACAACATCCTGCATGAGCCCTACCAGGGCCGAGGGGGTTAGGGGCCTCGACAAAACATCCTATCCCCAGAATCTGTAGAGTCATGCAGAACTTCTCAGTCAAGAGGAGGAATTAGGATTGGGATCCCAATTTCACACCTCTGCCCGTGGTCAAACTTCAGCCCTCAGCCCGGAGAGCAAAGCAAAGCAAGTCCTCGCAAACATTGGCTGACACCGGCCATACCCTTCATATACATGTCAGGCTGAGGGATAGATATGTATATATATATATTATATACAAGTTCATTCGCAATGACAATTAAGATGCAGGTCATGAGGCTGCAAGCGTTCCCATCAGAAAAGACTAGGTTTCTGAACCAGTTCCACTACGACTCCTCTGGAAGCCTCGAACGGGAAGCCCGGGTTGCAATCATGTCTCCCCCGGCGGTTTAGGGCTGAGGATTTAGGACTTGGGGTTTAGGGTCCAGGGTTTTGGATATGGCATTCAGGGTGCAGGGTTTATCTATGACTTTTGTTCAGGAATTGGAGATTAGAGTTTGGTTCCTCAGGGTTCCTCAGTAGTTTCAGGGTTGTTCTAGCTCTAGCCAAGAATGTATGGACACGTGCCGATGAGCTTGCGGACGTGAAAACATGCTGTTCTGATTATGTTATCAACTTTCCCATGTACACTAGCATCCCACATGTTGGTGTGTTGGGCGTGAGGCTGCATCAGGAAGCCACAGCAGAGCTCGAGTATAGCCAGCGAGACAGCAGAAGGCAATTGCAACAACAGCGATGATGAGCGCCACCCTATTCCTTTGACATGCTGCAACCGATGTCAACCTTTGACGTGCTGTTTTGTTTCGCCAACCGCTCCTAATAGGGTGAGAGTGATGATTCTCACTGGTACATCGAGACGCTAAGGAAAAGTTCAAGTTCTTGGAGGTTAAGAAAGAGGACATCCACATCGAGTACCAGGAGAGAAGCATGTTATCGTTTTTGCGCCGCCTGCCAGCGTTTGAACCATGTCCATCCACACCATCCGCAACACAACACAGCACAACACCGTCATCATCACCATTGTCATTAACAGCACTTTAGCAGCAACAGCCATTCTTGCGAGTAGTATTAGTAGATTAGTGCAGCTTGTGCTCAGTGGCAGCTGCTGCTGCCACTACCGACCATGGCCAGCACAAGCGAGGCCGCCACAGCAACGGCCACCCCCATTGCCACTACGCCCGCCCTGCCACCACCTCCATGAATACTGCTACTTGCCACGAGGGCGACAGCGATCCTTCATGATATTGCGTGTTCTACTACCGCCAGGCAAGCAGGTAAAGAAGAGTTTCAGCAGATCAAATTGCGATGATCACTTTCCCCTGACGTTTTCATCAACCCATCTCACCAGAGGCCCATGAAGGAAAGCAAAAGGCACTCTGAAAAGGGCTATCAGTACATCCTGCGGAATCCCGTAAGTTTATGAGCAAAGTTGTCGCTATAAGGAGCTTATGAATCCCGTGTGTCCAGCAAACTAGCCGGCGGCATCAACCTAAAGCCATGTAAGGCATATACGTAATTGATGCGATCAAGATGCACTCCATGGCTCAGCGTACAGCCGCCACGTGTGACCCGATGGATGCGATTTCTCGTATTGTACATCTAAGAAAATTCAAGCTCAGGGACTGATAGTTTGTCGACTTGTACTCATGCAAGATGATGACAACCACTAGCTTGGAGTGGAAGCATGTTGTTTTCGCAGCCCACTCGATTTTGTCTTCCTGCGCTATGTCTGTATACATCCCTAGCTGCACTGCTGCGCACGGCAACTTGGGTGGGCTAAGTTTCCCTCTGATTAGCCCTGCAAACCCAGTAAAGCTCTTGCACGATGACGGAAGACTACTTTCATTCCATTTTTGCAAGTCATGGCTTTTTCATGACTCCAGGACCAGGACCTCTTGTACTGGCAGATGTCTGAGGCACGGAAGTTTCATAGGTTGCAAATTGCATGTGAATCTCCAGCAGCTGCCTTTTCGTTCTTATAGCTCCTTTGTTTCTATACAATATCTCAAGCCAATTCTAACCATGGTGGCTCTGCTAATGAAAGCTAATGCGCTCACTGCAGGAAATTCAGCTCGGGTTCCCTTGCCCTAACTAAACCCTAAACCCTAAACCCTAAACCTGTTTCCGAGTTTCTCCTGTGTTCATCGTTGAGAAGATTAGGCTCGCAGCGCAACTGAAGGCAGGCTACCTGTCACCTCAGGGCAGCTGTGGTGGTTATTTTCCAACGCGACGGCACCGAAGCATCTCAAGCTTCTTCAAGCTCATGCCTTTAGGGGGTTTAGGGTTTGGGGGTTAGGGTTTAGGGTTAGGGTTTAGGGTTTAGGGTTTAGTCTTGAGGTTGCAAGCTGGTATCATTTGTATCCTCTACATTAGGCTTTCCAGCTGCAGACTTGGAGCCCCAACCCTGGTAGCATATTACAATACATATTGGGGAAATTATAGGGGTTATGTAGGGGATATTTTGGGATAATGGAAAAGAAAATGAAAACTACTATTTGCGGTTTAGGGCACTTACCCCGTCTAATCACACCTACTTTCAGTCCCCACGAAGCCATGATGCAACTGGCGCGTGGCTGGTTGCATGACGCGGCTGCTATGAGAACACCAACAGCAAGGGCAGCCGCCCCAGGATGCGAGGCTCGCCATCCTGGGATTTTAGAGATTCAGGGTTTGGGGTTTAGGGTGTAGGGTTTAGCGCTTAGGTTTGGGTTTTGCGTTCAGAATTCAGGGTTTAGGGTTTAGTGGGTTGCGGGTGGCTGAGTGTATGGTTTAGGCTTAGGGCTTTCGGATTCAGGGTGTTGGGGTTCAGGGCTGCAGGTTTGAAAGCTTTCAGAGTTTTGGGCCCGGGCTTCAGGGCTTACAACAAGTTATACCACTAGGCCCCGTAAGATTATCTGAAGATCCCCTGTCTAGTCACTGTGAGCAAGTCACGGCGCAAGCGTGAGGTTGTGTTATAAATAAAGTTGCAAACTTCGGAAACAAAGACGCACTTCATTGCAGGCAAGACAGGCTCCAAACACGTAAGGTAGCCTAAGATGAGATATTTCCAAAACTTGGGGCGTTGATCGGACGCGAAATGCTGGGACCCGTACTAGAATGGAACATTAGAACGTTGCCGACTGAAGCTTGTGTCTAAGCTGATTGTACAATCCTATACGCGTTGAACTTTTGATCCAGGCACGCAGCTATGTCATGCAGATTTCTTGAAACGGCCCAATGTCTCCAACTCTCACCTAAACCTTCTTATACTGGGGCTCGAAGTAGCAAAAGCCCATACATTCTTCAGATGCGCCTCCGGGAAGCCACTTGTGATCTCTTATCCATGGCAACTTCCTTTCCAGACGGCTGTTGCCAAAATGGTACCCCCAGAGAGATGCTGAACTTTAAGCGCTAATCCCTAGGGTTTTCAGGTTTAGGGTCGAGGGTTAAGCCCTGTAAGCCCTAAGCCCCATAAACCCCTGAACCCCTACTCAGGGAGACTGGGGAGTTGCTTGGTATAGTATCTTACATCAGCATCAAAAGCACAAGACTGTAGGACTCCTACGGAAAAACTTTGAACTCCCAAAGCTTCAGCCCACGATCTGGACGACATGTCCTGGGCTCGAAATCCATAAACAATCCTCACAGTGGGCCCTACAGTCTATAAATGGTAATATAGATCCATGCTTTATAAACACCTCCCCTTCATGGGGATTCTACTAGGGATTCCTTTTATCAAGACCCCTTAAAATGAGGGGGTTTATAAATCATGGGTCTACATGACCTACATGGAACCTTTAGCATAGGGTTCTAGGGCTTAGGGCTGCATGGAAGGGAAGCCAAAGCAGAAGCTTCGCAGCCTGGTGGAAAGGAGGCCTTGAATTGGGCCGTAGCACCAACTTGGGGATTGAGCTTATAGGGTTTAGGGGTTTATAGTCCCCCTTAAGTAGATAGAATATGGGGTATATGGGGATCTTATTATAATATACCCAAAACCATATTCTATCTACTTCAGGGGGACTATAGGGCTTGGAATTTAGGTTATACGGCCTAGGGCTTAAGGAAAGGAAAGGCGATGCAAAGGTGAGCTGAAGCACTGAAGCCTTGCAACTTTGAGGTCCAAAGCCAAAAGGTGAAAAGAAAAGACCTAAGTTCATCAGCGGCTTGGCAGCATCCTGGGTGTGGTTAGCATCTGCTCATGTCCCTGAAGCTGGTTGCTTCCACCATGGTTGTCCTAAGTGAGAGTCTCCAAATCTCCTTTCTTGTACATCAGTTTGAATGCTTCTATTTGCAGATCAGTTTTGGAGTTTGCGAGTGTTTCATGGAGATCCGCATTTCGAAAACTACCCAAACGCAAACAGTAGGATCTTTGGATGCAGGCACCTTTCAATTTGCAAGCTCACAAGTCACAAGACCTATTTTATCAGAACATGCCCCAAAAGACATTCTTGGAGTTGCAAATGCACTCACGAGATGGCAAGATTAAGAAGCCAAACCTGGAATTCCGTACCCCCCGCCCCTATGGACACACGCATCCTCACGCTGAAGGGACACTTGAGCTGTCTCCATAGGAACCATCACATGGAGCCTTGTGGGGCCGACGATTTAGCCTGAAGAGGGTGTGAAGTCCGACACGCTCTAACAGACCTGGCCTGTCGTTGCGACATCAGGAGCATGTCAGAAGTGGGGTTGAATCATCTTAGTGTCGGATATCTGTTGTTTCTGCAGAATTCCCATGGCAAAAATACTACGGAATATCATGCAAGTGCTATGAAAATCCTGAGACTGCTGCAGAAAGACTGTTGTCAGAACCCAATGCAGGCCAATACTCCAGATTCGCAGCCTGAACGTTAGGCTTCCTTTCCCTAAGCGTACCCAATCATTCGGTCCTTGCAATTTGGGTAATAGTAATAGTACAGGTTTTGGGAAAGTGTATGATGACTGGGTACTTTGACTTCAGGATTTGTTTCCTCTGCCGAGACGACAATTTCTTTCAAAGACCCCAACAAGCCCCATTGTTGTGAATGTTGTGAATGACCAAAGGCCCTTGGATTTTTGTGTTTCATGTATAGCCCCGTAAAAAGTCGTAGTAGTTAACAAAAGAGACTACCTGATTCTGAGAAATTCCCTCGATGCCCCTGCACATCCCTGTATAACCCCTATGCAGCCCCAAGAAGAACCCTTGTTTAAGAAAGTATGTACACTCGCTGAATCCTGAATAATGCCACGATGTCGGAACCCAGGTGTCGGCCAATCGCTTTACCGAGCAACAGCCCTGGCGCCAAAATGTTCTGTTCTATCCTTGTTATGGGTTGGATTTGTTTTTTTTTGGATTTGAGCGGTGCTTTTTGAGTTGGCTGGCTGATTCCTTGTCTTCCGATCCTCGCCCTTGCATGAACCTTCCTGTACAAAGCCCTCATCTGACTAAAGCCCAAACATATGCCTTCACCCCACATGAGATATGGTTTAAACTCCTAGCATCCCCCTTAATAACCCCTGTAAGACTCCCCTATATAATCCTCTATATAACCTCCTTTTAGGGAGTTTAGACTAAAGCTGACATATTATTGTGTGAGAGCGTCAATTTCATGGAGCATTGCAGGATGCGGACATCAGGGGTCCCAAGCGAAAGTGCCCTTGAACAAACTTGCCTTCAATCGGAGCAGGTAATATTAGGGTTATATTGGGATGATGGAAAATGAAATGGCAACTACTATTTAGGGTAACGGCAGTAGGTCTACGCATGTCTACATATTATGCCTTGGAAGTGGGGCTTTGGCTGTAATTGTGCGGCCCTAGTCTTGGTTGTGTAATGTTGATGTGGAGGCTTGCCTAAACAAAGTAGAACTTCCTCGTAATACCTTCCGGCTCCATGCAAACCTGTACATGGCCATTGCCAGAGTGACCGATTGGCTCCCATATCCACTTTGCCAGAGGTTAACGGGAACTACCGCCTGGCGTATCGACGCTTCTTCGGCAGGGACATAACGCTGCAAGAGCAGCGACTCAGATGCTTTAAACACAGCCTTGGCAGAAGGAGTCGAGGTCACAATCACAGATCCAGGGTTTCCTCGAATGAGAAAGAAATGACAGTTTTATCAGCCCATGTTCGCAGTGTTTTCATGGTTTTCAGCATTACAGCTGCTGCCAATCGCATGATGGTTCCATTGGAGTTCATACCGTTGATGGAAGGAATCCTGCAAAAAAAACATCCCAGAAGTGCAATATAAGCTTTCCTCCACCAGCAGTGTTGATTGGGTTGCTGTTAAGGAATTTAGATTAAATTACCATAATGGGTATATATATATATATGTATACATAGTAGATAGTAGGGTTTCCCAATATAGTTTTTGTTAAATTAACTTCCTCAATAGCAACCAGTCGATGATGAGGTATGACCATGCCGCACGAAAACATCACCTGGTGCAGACCTTGAAGGATCGATATCTGATCAAGGCACAAGGGGGGAACAGCTCTCTGCAGAAGCAATGTCACCCAGATGATCTAAGTACTCTTTGTTAGGGGCTTTGGGTAAGTATCTGATTGTTAGGTACTTGAGCTTTTAGGGTCAGAGTTTCACAACCTGTTGCTTGCGAACGCTTCTTTGGTTCCTTTCTACTCTCTACGCCCAACGTATATGAGGATTTTCCATAACAATATTTTAGTTTGAGAACACCCCATGCCAAGCTTCCTTCAAGAGGGAGGGCTACCGAGATGGTCTCAGCGATTGGGGGTATGAGGGGTGGTCGCTCGAGTATTATCTATTCAGCTTTAGGCAGAGAGTTCATTTCATATAGGGGCACAATTCTTCCCAGCGAGGAGGAGATGCAGGTTGCTCTGTGTTTTAGGGAATTGCCTCCTGGCTTTCTTGTAGGCAAAACTCCTACTTCCCCCCTATACAACCCCTACCTAACCCCTATATACCCTATAATCCCTATATAAATCCCATATAATCCCTATAATCCCTATAGTTGTCATTATACGATCCTTGAAGAATCCTCCTCCCAACCTGAGCTTGTCTCGTTGGACCTGCCAAAGAGTCAGTTGAGAAGATTACCCTCTGTTAGCCTTCTTCATCTGAGCCATATTCTAAACTCCTGAAAGGGGGTTTTAAAGAGGATTATATAGGGTACTATTATTGTGGTTATTAAGGGGGATACTAGGAGTTTTGACTATAGCTCATGTGAAACTTCTATTTCGTGCAAAGGGCTCAATCAACCTTAGTCTTAAAGACTCGAACTACCCCTAGGGGTCCAAGTACCCAACTAGTAAGGCTTTAGGGTACCCTAAGGCCCGAATATTTCGGCCTTTGGATCCTTAGGATAAAGCAAACCTGCATTGGTTTCCTAAAGTGAGACATGTCTTTCAGCCAGGTGGTCCTACAGTTCATGAGACACAAATCCCTTTCCCGTATGTTCAAAACCACCAACGCATAAATGCCTAGTGTGGATCCCGATGGTTCCTTGCTACACTAGCCACCGCCAGATGCTGCATGCAAATGACCTAATCCAAAATTTTACTGATGGCTAGCAGGGAATAAGGGAGTACAATCCCCATGTACTCCCTATGTGACATATTCCCGGAATCCCTACTCAGCCCTATATATACCCATTTGCCTTTCCATTAGCCCTATGTACCCCAACATATTCCCTTATTCCCTACTAGACCCAATAAGACATGTGCCCACTACAGCAGCCTGCAGGCATCTTCAAGCCCTCCGCATGCGCGGAAAACGCCGGACCTGCTAATCTACCCGTACGAGCGCACCAAGTGACATGGGAGCAGAAATGGTGCTACTTTTCTGAACCCTAGCCCTAAGGCTCCATGTAGGTACTATGTCATAGGGTTTAGGGCCCAGTGTAGGTCTCATATTATTTATATAGTTAGAGCCCAAGGGTAGGGATTAATGGGGATTTCGATATGAGAAAGTAGATGTCTGGGCAGAACACATCCGACATACAGGGCGGAATCCGCCAGAAAAGCTCCTAGCAATGGCTCAGACTCTTGTATGAGGGTATCCCAGGTTGGAAAATCTGCAGAACCAGTTTTGGAGACATTAAGACATACGTATGGTTACGAATCGGGTGCATTAGGGGTTTCTTCAAACCTCTACTAGGCACCAAGAGGAAGAACCCGCCCTAGCATTGGCAGAACCCACAACCCTAGACCGCAGAAAGCCAAAGTGCTGGCGTGAGCTGCCGCGACAATTGCGCAAAAGGTGCCGGAGCAAAATGTGTGGGGATTGCGCTAAGGCTTTGTAGGTCACCAAAAGATCCTCGATACATTAAGGGAATCCTAGACTTTGTGCCCCACGATCCGCTGTGCTGGGTGAGGGCCTCTTCTTGAGACTGCGCCACGTACGAGTCGGAGGTCTTTCTTCTAGTGCCCTAGTGCAAGGCCTCCCAATATCAAGGGAACCACTTTGTGGAATCCTGATTGTTGGAAACTGCAACATGAGGAGGTTTGCTAGCGATGGTTCTTGTTAGCCCTTTTTACTACAAAAGCGGCCTGGACCACTACCCATCTATGTTTGCTTCAAGGCGCACGGGTTTTCTTGATATCGCGACAGCGAAGCTGTCAGCAACACAATTTCTTCAAGCCATTCGGCCACTAAACCTGCGAGTAATAAAACTTCACCCATGCCCGACACTTGAGAGTCTAAATCCTAGCCCTGAATCCCAAAGCAGGCCGACAGAAACGCAGACTGTGCAAGCCGTAAACGTTATGAAGCAGAGGAACTGAAGCGGAAACCTCCGTAAATCCTTGGTCCTCCTTTGCCCGCACTCTAGGTTAATGGGGTCCATAACCATGAAAGAGATAAGAATTTGCCGCGTCAGGGTCCCATGTCAGGAGCAACCCTGAAGCCTTAGCTCAAGAAAAACCCTAAACCCTAAACCCTGGACCCTAAGCTGAATTGTTGAACCCTCGACCTTGACCTGCACCCCATGCCGTAGTCCCTAAGTCCTAGCCCGTGGAGACCCCAAGCGCCCAACTTACTGGCGGTTAATAGGCAAACTCCCCACATACTCCTTATATAATTATATACTCTCTTATTACCTGTTTGCCCTAAACCCTAAATCCTATAAGATATTCACTTACCATCCGTAAGCCAAAACAGTTTCGGAGGCCGTCATCATTCAGCTGGTGGCATGTTCTGCTCAAGCCCTTGCCGGAGCCTCACCTGGCACCGCTTTGGGGTTGAGGGCCTGAGGGTTTAGCGTTCAAGGTTGTAGGGTTTAAGGTTGTAGAATTTGAGTTGTAGGTTTAAGGGTTTAGGCTTCCAGGGCTTGAGATCTTAGAGTGTAAGGTCTTAGGGCTTAGGGACCTAAATCTTTGTACTGCGCTTGTGGAGGTCTTTCCATCCCGAGCCACAACTCATAAAGATAAGAAAAGACCTGACTGTCCCGTTTGATCCCACAACTCCACACCCGATAAGTCATGCAGGCCCATCCTGATGGGTTATTTAAGGCGGAAATTTGGGGGCTAGTAGGGGGGGGGCCTAAGCCATACACCCTACCCTAGTAGATGGACCCATGAAACCCCTTCAACGCCCTCATCGCCTCGAATTCCGCATTCAATCATCCTGGCAATCAAGATCCCTACAGTCCTACTCCCTACCAAGTAGGTATTCGGGTTAGGATAAAACCCTATAGTCCCATAATCCAAGTGTCCATTTCATTTCCCATCTATTTGCCATTTGATTCTTCATTACTGGGGGTTTGAATTTTCGTTTCCATTATCCCAGTATAACAATGTTCAGGGTTGCTGAAGATGAGACACCTGAGGTACATGCATCGAACTTCAAGGACCGGACTGCCAGTCACGATCACCGAAACTTTGTGAGCTTCGGGTCTCAAAGAATAGCCGGTTCGGCGTCGTGGGGTTGAAAACCATGCGCAGTTTTCGGAAGTTAGGAGTCCCAAAAATAGCTGAATGCCCCCAACATGGCTTCAATGCCTGCGTGCGTCGGGAGAACGTGCGAAGACTCAGACAAGCACCGCAAGGGTCCAATCATCCGCAAGATCCAGGACTGTAGCGTTTGCCCTAAGGGTCCAAGGACCCAAACATTAGAGCTTTAGGGCCCAAGCACCATTAATATTATAGTATTTGGCCCCTAGAACCCTCTCATTTGGGTCCTTGGACCCTTAGGGTTGTAGTGGCACAGAAGTGCGGACAAGTCTGAGTCAGCTCACTGCAAAGCTGCTCCATAAGTCCTCTCTGGCAACGGCATGCAACGGCGACATCGTAGCCCTAGCATGCAGGGAGCTGTGGGTTCTATGCAAGGTCAAGACGTTCGAAGCTTGTGTATACAGTACTGAGGACTACAATGCCACTTGTGATACGTAATTACTTATGGTCCCTGCACATATGCTCTACGGCTCTACGGACAGCCGAAGTGCAGCCACCGCGCAGGAGCATCCTGCCAACCAAGCGATCCCAGTGGAGAAGAGGAGCTGAATGTTAGGAAGCAAGTAGATGGAGAGTTTCCAAAAGGTTTGTTGCGCTTCTACGTTTCAGGATGCTGAATATACTAGCCCGTCGCATATTAGTCTTTCAGGGACATCCCCATATCTGGTCATGTCGCACGTTGGTCACCACTGGCAAACCTTGAGCCCTATGAAGATAACTGCTCTAATTGGCTCTAATGCCCACACATTCTAAGGTTTCTTAAGGGCCCTCCCGGTGAAAAGGGCGACATCCGCTGCCTGACCACAGTCTTGTGTTGTATGGCAGGAAAGAGTGGCCTGAGTACGTCATCGGCAGCGATCCCTATGAGTTTGCAGAGTTCGTTCTTCTTCAGCTGGTCCAGAACTCGGCTTGGCCAGTTTATGGGGACTGTGAATACAGTGGACTCTGAGGGTCCCAATTCAGGCAATTCTCAGAGCAATTCCTTGGCAGCTCAGTGGGAGATGTCTATAGAGGGAAATCCAGGCGTGCTTATGGAAGTCAGCCACGTGGCTGTTTCGCAAAGTAGAACCTGCCTGCAATACCCAACATTTTTTGGGGAGGTCTAGACAGCGTAAGGTAGACCATCTCCATTCTCGGCAGATACATGATTACTTTTCGAAATCGTAGCTTCTGACCACTCTAAGGAAGAGGCATCAACGAGGCTCTTGGCGCCACATGATCTCCGTGGCTGATGTGGCAACAACTTTCGGGTAGCGTAAAGCCTTCCCCCGCATTTCTTGACAGAACGTCATCATGAAGCTGTTGCATCCAGCATAGTTGTGGTGAGCCTTGAGCAATAAATGCATCAAATCCGAGCCAAAACGCTGACAGGCACCATCCTCATAGCAATCGATGCTAAATGCCCAGCTCCCCATGCATGATGTGACACGACACAACCTCCGCATGGCAAAAGCCATTGAGCAAGACGCACAGAAACTCAAATAAGAAAATGACAACGTGGCGTCAGGGTCTTTTAGAAAGGCCTAAGCAGCCGCTCCTCAACCGAAACCTTTTTCCCTAAGCATCCCTAAGCCCTCTTCCTTGATGTAAGATTTATGTCTTGGCGTAGGGGTGAGGGTAGCCTGAAAGACAGACCTGATCCCTCAACGTAATACGCAACCCTTCAATGCCCAACCCAAATCCAAACATGGGTGCTTCCCAAATTTGAGATCCCGTGTGTTACGCTCTAATGTGATGATCCTTACATGTCCTTACACTGGGAAAGCCATAGTACTGGAGACTCCCAAATCCCACTGCCTGTCCACAGTATTCAATCGTTGATGAGGATCGCCCCTTCTACCACGGCCGTTTCGGACAACCTCCAACGATGAGGCCGACTAAGCTCGGACAGGTTTTGTAGGGGCAGCATGTGGAAGCTGTGTTTCTCAGATGCCGCGCCTAGTTCGTTTGGAACCAACAGTCATGAGATTCGTACGTGTTGCGGGAATAATTACCTGTGAATTCTCGGCGGCGTGTGGGGAATGGATTTGTGACGGCGTTGTGCGGATTTCTGTAGTAAGTTCTGATAAGAGCCCACTCGCTACCCTCCCTAAAATGACATGGCACCACAAACGCGACGGACATTACTGTCCTTTTTACGAGTTTCATGGGGTTCAATCTTTGTCTGGTTGGGGGGAGGTGATTATTGAGTTTCATGGAATCCAGTCTATAAACACTGGCCTCTTTGGATGATGGCTCCTGGCTTCGTCCTCTTGTAGGAGGATTTTCGCGATGAGTACTGAAGACCTGGTCATGAGACAATTGCAGGTTTCCCAAAATCAGAGGTACCTTTTCGGGAGTCCCCATAATAAGGATTATAGGGTCCCCCTATTTCTGGAAACCACCAAATGCTCTAGTTATCCATTGCCTGAAGCGGTGTAACGTTTTACAAGCCGATGTTCTTCTTTGAGGGCTGTTCACCTCCAGACTTTCAGGGCCCTAGACTATGCCTTACTTGGACCCTCTCATGTAAGTCCTTTTTGGGTTTGGTGTGTTTTTTTGGTTAGGACTCTTGCTCGGACTACCAAAAATTATTACATTGGAGGATCTAGGTAGGGTTCCGGGTTATGGTTTAGGGCTCTATTAGACGGCGAATACATAGCACTAGCGGATGCCAATCAAAGGAATCGTGGTATGTACTTGTGGACAAACGGAGGCTTGGTTAGGAGCCCTGATTGCGGGACAAGTGCTGAAGCCCTCCTTGAAATTTGCTGCAAACTCTGAAACGCAAGGCCCAGACAAAAAACGGCTTCTTAATCCTAAGCCCGACCTAAACCCGGAATCCTCAGCCCTGGCCAGCATTCAGGGCCAGCGACATTATGGAAATGGAGGTGATCCGCAACGCCTTGGCCTTAAGGATGGCCGTGAGAAGGATGTCTGAGCACAATTTCCCATAATCTTTATGCCGACAAAACACTTCCCGCTTTGCAACGTTGGTTCATCTCGGTTTCAAAAACCTCTTCATTTCTCATTGAACCAAGGAGCGGAAGCTGATAGAAGGAAAGTTCATGCAGTCGCGCTTCTTGAAGTCAGGCAACGGTCCTCCGTAGCAGCACATCTTCGCAATCTGTGCGCAGTAGATTTGTTGAGCTTGGTGCTTGGAAGCTGGGGCAGGACTGTTTTGGCATCAGCACAGTGGTTTGTTTGCTGACTTTACTTCATGCTTCCAATGGTGGGTCTCAGTACGTTGACAAGAGATTACTTCTGCTGTTTAGCTGCTAGCACTACTCCTGCTACTACCACGGCAACTACTGCTACTGCGACCACCATGATGGTGATGCTGATGATGGCTTTACGGTATTGGTCATTAAATGCCTCAGCTGCAGGCGGCACAAGATTTGAGAAAGGCGAAGATGACGAAGCTGGGACCTCAGACTTGTTGCTGGAAGTAGAGGGTGCGAGGGAAAAGGGCAAGCATCCCCACGAGACCTTGAGCCCTTTCATGCATTGGAAATGAGGCAAGTGCTACAGTAGGATATTAGGGGATGCCGTTCATGGCTCCCGAACTTTCCATCCATTCATGTAACTAGTAACTGACAATGCCCATCCCTGAACCACAAAGTAGGAGCTCTAAATCCGGCAGGCAATACCTCTGGAAGAGATCCGAGATGTGGACCAGGCTTCGGTTCAGACGATCCAGATCTAACGTGTACATCCTAGGGGTCTTTAAGCAGGGGTACCCTCAATTTAGTCAGGTGCAGGCCCCTGTACTCGGGATTCCTAATTTAGATACATACAGTTTTTAAGGTTCCTTTTGGTGAACGGTAGTCGACATAACGCGGAGGAGTTCTTGCGCGCGATGGTCTCCTTGGGATTCCGAATGCGGTGATGTATACCATGAGCTGAGGGATTTCATAGCCTGTTTGGGGATTAAGGGGCGAGGAAGCAGTGCCAAGGTTAAGGAAGTGTTCTGGCTCCCAGCAGTGTGGTTTAGGAAGGAGGGATTATGAGCTTAGGGTTTGCCTTGAGCGTTCCTTTAAGAGATGATAACTCTATTGCGATCAGATTGCAAGCTTCAGGCTCAGTCTCGGCTTAAAGCTTCAATGCATGAAGACTTTCTGACAACACCCACGTTTTCAAGATTGCGCTATAGAACCCGTCGCGTAGCTGTTAGGATGGAGGTTGCTGTCCTCAGCTTGAAGCATCCTTTGCTTTCTTCCAGACTAGAATGGAACCCCACAGAGGCCTACAAAGGCTACCGTTTTTTGCTTACACTTTGGAGTTCCACGCGTTAGTTTCGGGAAAAGTGTAACGAAGAATCCTTTGCATTCTTCAGGCTTGTGTGTTTTGGCGGCTCGTGGCCAGGAACGTGATCGTGATCCACTTGCACCAAGGTTTAGGTAAAACGTGACACGGATCAAGAGATGTATCTCAGAGATTCCTCTATATATATATACATATACACACACTGCAAGGTTTCGGGGTGATGGTGACACCCGAATGCGGCCACACCGCAAACATGCTGCGGTGCAGGCACTCTCATTGTTCGGAACCACCAGAGCGCGGTCCAAAGAATCCAACAAGGACCTGAGCAGTCGCAACGCATGCATGTATCTGTATCTCGGGAAAGAATTCCTGAAGATATCTAAGCTGACAATATTTGAGTAGAAGTCTCACAGCGCGCAAACTGCAAGCCGTGTCAAAGCTAGGTGAGACCCCTTCCGGCAGATGAGATGCACATTCTAGGGTGTATAGGGTTTGAGATTTTCAGGGCTCTGAGGTTTATAGGGCCTGGGAATGCGGGCTTAAAGGGTTAGGAGTCAGGGCCAACAGCAAGCTGATCTAACCAGTCCTGATGCAGATGTAGAGACTCAACCTTCAAGGCACCATGTAAGTGCGCATGCATGTGGAAACAGATTTGTAAGTTTCCTAAAATAGTGGGACCCCAAAATAGACCCAAATTTCTACAATCCTCACTATGGGGACCCAAAAAAGTACACCTAATTTCATGGGAAACCCACAGAGTGTGGTGGTAGACAAAACTCCAACTCCAAGCCCCAACTCCTCGTTCAACCTGTAAACCCAAGTCGAACCTTAAGCTCAGACCCTTAGTTAACTTACATCCTACTGCCATGACATGATTTCTCCAAGCATCACCCTAAACCCTAAACCCTAAACCCCTAAACCCTAAACTCTAAACCCTAAAGGTGATCTCTTTCACTTCTGGAATGCCAGGAGGTGAGAGTTGGCATGGCAAGGGGAGAAGTGTTGACGCCTTGTTCCACTTAGGGTTTAGGGTTTAGGGGGCGTAGAGACGTGTCCCTTGTCATGCCGCTCACCTAAGTAAGTCCAGTACCAACCAGAGGTTTGCAGAGTTTTTCATGATGCCCTTGCTGCTCCCGCAGGTGGATCTTGTTTTATTCCTGCTTAGAGCAATGGCCACCCGCGACCTGATAGCGCTGGAGTCATCTGGCTAGTTCCCTACGGTCCAATGGTGCAGCCACAGGGAGGGAACATGCTGCCAACCGAGCAGGCCAATCAGACCTCCAAGGCTTTTTTGATTGAACGTCTACCTGGCTTCAGAGCGAATAATCTGAAGAAGGCCGACTCAACTGCACCAGTCTCATCCGGCGAGCCTACGCTCATGAATGCAAGCAGGACACGTGCCAAATGCGCACGGGAAGAATGGCTGAAAACGCATCTGAAACCTGCAGATCAAGGTGATGATGCCCAAGCCTCCTTCCAACCAGGCATGATTCTCGAATCCATCGGCAACGCGATCATGAGGGAGGCAGAAGACATGCAGAGCAAGCGCATCAAGCTCTTGCCCGCAAGCTCCAAAGTTGAGGTTCTGTCTCTATCCACAACATCTGCACGGCGAATGCAAGTGCGCGATGCTGAGGGTGTAGATGGCTGGGTGAGCATCTGCAAGGAGAGCAATGAGGAGCTCTGGACACCGATTCCGCCCATCACTGCCGGGTGCAAGCTGTACTTGGGACAAGAACCATGTTGGACAGAGTCCTGTAAATCCGTAGCTGGTTTCTGGGATGTTGTTTGATTATGCCTCCTCGGGAACATATCCAGCGGTTCAACATACACCACAAGATAAGTCACACAGTAGAAGTGGTAGTTTCCCCAACAAAGGCGGACCCCCAAAATGGTACCCGCAATTTTGGGAAACCTCCGAACCTCCCCGAAACGGACCTGTCAGAGCCTTTAAAGCTCACCTGCCATTACATGAGTAGATGATAAGATCTGTGACCTCGCGGGCGTGAACTGCCTCAGAAGACAGATATCATTCCAACTAACTTGCCCAAATTACTTGAGTTCATACGTAAAACACAGATCAGGTTCATCCCCAACCCCGTTCGATTCTTCCAGTCAACGGGGGAGCCAGCTATCTAAGGGGACTCCAAACAAATCACATGTTTCTTGTCTAGAGTAGTAAAATCCCCATATGCCCTACTAAACCCCACTAAATCCCAAACCCTCAACTCTAAATCAAGCACTTAAACCGTACTCCCTACACCCTTAGCCCGAGCCTTCCCCTCTCCTCCCCCAAGGTATTCCAAAGAAGACGAGCTCCGCTGTTTCTTGGGCTTTCTTTGGGCTCTGGAGTTGAGGTTTGTAATCCCCCTTAAGTAGATAGAATATGGAGTATATTGGGGTTATATAGGGATAATCTAGTCCCCCTTAAGTAGATGTAATGTGGAAACTACTATAGTGGGTTATATAAGGATTATAGGGTATATTGGGGTTATATAGGGATGATGGAAAAGAAAATGGAAACTACTATTTAGGGTTTAGGGTTTAGGCTTATAGTCCCCGTTAAGTAGATAGAATATGGGGTATGGGGATCTTATGATATTATACCCAAAGCCATATTCTATCTACTTAAGGGGGGCTACAAAGTAAGGCTTAAGTGGGGTTTAGGGCTTAAGAGGGGCAGTGAAAGCCAACAAAAAGTTGGGAACATGGGAATAGGAGGATTTGTGCTGCTTTAGCTCTTTCTCTGTGCTGTGGCCAAGACAGGCGGATCTTTCAATTTTCTTGTTTCTACTGTGAGGCTGTAAAGGCTCAGATCTCTTGCGATCATGGCGTCCAAACTTAGCATGTGATTCCTGGGCTTTAAACCTGCACCCAGACCTGCAAAACCCAACCCAAAGCCTACATGTTGTGCAATATACAGTCGTCTATCAAAAATTCATATGCCCTGTTTCAATGATCGTAATTTATTGTACCAGAAGAAGATACTACACCCTGAGCTCAGGACCGCACCCTCCCATTCCAAGGCTTTAGGCTCTTACAGGGTGCAGTGAAATAGAGGATAGTTGGAGGGTCTAGGTTATCATGGTTCGAATGGTGCATCATTAAGTAATGCTGCTTCGATACATAAGAGTACCTAACAACTCTGAGGCCCTTCCATCAAGAATATACACTAAACTTTGAATCCTAACCCCAAACACGGAACGCGAGGCTTCTATGATGTGGAGTCCTGGGACATCATTTGTCGAGTACGCCGTGGCGAGTTGATGTTTGCTACGGGACCACCTGTGTCAAATGATGGCTTCACGCCGCTCGGGTGGGGTTTAGTATAGGGAAGGGTGGATGGCCAAAAAGCTGCAATAAGGCAGGTATACTGAAGCACGATATTTCTCGGAGATTGGGTAAGAGGGGTCATGCACGATCTTGTGAAAAAGATACCCCTCCTTGTTAATCGAGGGAGTCTTTGCTTGAGGTCTGAGATTTTCACATGCGTTCTGCAAGTTCTTAGATATTCGATCCTAAGCCCCCCCGCTAGTGTTCGTGAATCCTACGTAGGGTTGGACCAGAAGAATGGTCTTTCTCATTTTGGGCTTGCATTTCCACGGAAGGTATAGGAGCCTTTATTTGTGGCACATGTTCCAGCCCCAGTTTGAGGATGGTTCCTGTCCGATTGCGGAATGGCGCCATGGGTGCGGTGCAGCGGGAGTTGGTGAGTCAACGGCCTGAGGCGGGGATGAAAGCGGTAGCCTGGTAGCCTCTATATTGGAATTCATGAGTGGGGCTGGCAACCTCAGCGTTGCATGTTGGGTTTACGGTTCAAGGCTTGGAGCTTTGGGCTATAGACTTCCAATTTTCAGATGAAGGGCCTTGGTGTAGACATTGAAGATCTGTGTCTGTTTGGCTTAGCTATGTTTTCGAAAGAGCATGGCAGTTCATCAGGTCTTACGCATTGGGATAGAGACCCTGGAAGAAAAGGATTGTAGTTGTGGCGGCCCACCCACTAGCATAGTTTCACAGTGACTTTTGGCTGTCGTGAGTCGCCAATCACTTGCAAATCGCGACTCATTGACTTTTGCCTGACCGTATGCTTGTTTCTATGATGCGCACTCTTGTTGTCGGCACTATGGTGAAGTTCACTTTTCTAGTTGCGCACTTTCAGTCTTGTTGGTGCATGGGAGGGAATGAAGGAACGGAAGCATGGTGACCTGCACTTCTTACTAGCCACTAGGAAGCTGTTTCACTGCCTTCTAAGCGGAAAATCGCAGGTGAGAGCAGCTGCTCAGGGGCCTCTGCCCGACGCCCCTGCGGAAGTTCTCACACCCTGGGATCTGGAATTAGTCCACCGAATTGTCCCGCAAGGCGCCGGGATCTTCACAAAACATGGAACAGAAAATGGAAACTAGTACATTTGGGGGGGTTGTTGTGTAGGGGCTTCTGTGGGAGTTAAGTTGGGTTACACAGGATACATTGTTGAAAGGGGAATTTTTTACACCTCCAAACTATGCGGATTCCTAGGATTTGGGGTCAGACTTAGGGTTTTGCAGAACTTCTTCCTTGAACCGTACGTTGTGAGTCCTACTTTTCCCCAAGCCCTAAACCCTCAACAAAGGGGGCCTGGGCGCCCGTGTCAGGTGATGACTGCGCTCTGCGCATTCTCATCTACGGCGACGGCCTTACCGGGGAGGAGAGATTTGGGATGATTTGGGGTCTATAGGGCTTAGGGTGACATGCCTTGCAAACAGAACCCTACCCCGCGCCCGAAATCCACGAAACCAAAGATTCCGCCATTGTTCCCAACCGCAACACCTGAGATTCCTGTAGAAGAAGCCGGGAGTCCATAATAAACACCTCTTATTCAATGCTGGGCAACAGGGAGCCAAAAACAGAACAGATGATTTCACAGCACTTGCTCTAAATCTACTGCCTTGCACCTTTTACCACAACTTGGCAAGCTCTATCCCCAAGCTTGAGCCGCTACCTTTACCTCCAACATCCAAACTCCACAAACTTGATCCTGCAACTTCTGAAAATTCAAGCACTGATTTGAATGGGAGGATGAGCCTGCCTATGCGCATCGGTTCGCTGCCCAACTCGCCAATGTAGGCTCGAAAGCGAAAACTCCAATGGTTCATTGTAGGGCTTGGGATTACGGTTTAAGTTGTTGGGGGGGTTACCTGGCAAGGTTTCCGTCATTGGCCCCTGAATTGGGCAAGAGGCCTTGCTGAGAGGCCTCACTTTGCTACGGGCCATTGGGTGAGAGCTTCACATGCTAGAGATGTTTGACGGCTAAACGTAAGCCCCGAACCCTGAGTTCTCTT